CCAAGTCCATTAAAATATCAAATTTTTCGCCAGTCCTGATGTGCGTGGCGATTTCGGTGAGTTTTCGAGCATGTTTAGGCCCTCAAAATCGCGTTTCAAAAGTCGGTAAAATAATAATAAATAATAAATAATAATCACAACGATTACAATAGGGTCCTTGCACTAGTGTGCTCGGACCCTAATAATCCGAGCAGTTTCAATAGGGTCTTCGCACCCTTTTGGGTGCTCGGACCCTAAATACTCAAAGTACAAAAAGCAATATAACAAAAAAAGAAAGACACCCTGATTGAAATACATGGTTTTATTTGTGGTAACAGCTACGTGACAAGAAAAAAAAAGGCTAATGCTTGAACATGTTATTGCTGTTATGAACAGTTTAACCAATGAAACACGTAGAGAAAAAAAAACTGTACATTTATATCACATAAAATGTCGTGGACCATTTAACAGCTCATAGCCATGGTAGTTTATGAATGGATAAGTCATGGAACACTAAATTTATTTACATAAAGAAAAAATATATATATATACTGTACATCTGTACACAGGCTCCTGTTGCAATAGATATGAGGAGGTAAACTCGAGCTGCAAAGACTAATTGATTAATCGATTAGTTAAATACTAAATGAAATGTCGACTACTTTGATAATCGATTAAATGGTTTGAGTAATTGCTTCAGAGAACAAGTCAAAATCCTCGATTGAATATCTTTAGGTTGTGGACAAAACAAGACATTTGAGGACGTCATCTAGGGCTCTTGCGCCATTTTCTGACCTTTCATAGACCAAACAATTAATCAATTAATCAGAAACCATCAGATTAATTAACAATGCATCGTTGAAATCCTTAGCTGCAGCCCTCGTGTGGACCCTCATCATTGGATATATTTCTGACCACTATAGTTGCATACAACTACAGATGTATAAACACGATTTATACTGTATGAAGAGATATATCGGCTCCAACACAAAGCTTCAGTGGTGGAATCCAGCCCGCTATACGTTCATGACAGGAGTTAGCTGCAGCAGTGAGCTCTGTGGTCGAATGGCACTGCTCTTTGAATGAAGTTTCTCCAAGTTCTGCAAAAAGCCTCGTCTCTTGAGACCTTCGAGAATGACAGTGTTGCTGGAGGCCAGACTGACTCGGGTCCTGTAGGGGCGAAATATACCATTTGAATAATGTGTTTATGCATTCCATCTTTACATAGCAGGGTGCACAGCGAGTTCAATGTCAGAAAAGAAGTCTTTTCTTCCTCTCTGATTATAACATGAGCATTTAAGTGCCGCACAGCAATTACACATAATTATCAAAAATCACTCCCTTCTGTCTAAATAGTAGATGCTGTAATTGGTCACAAGGTGTTTGTTCAGCTTTATTGCAATTTACCTTAAAAGAAAAAAAACACAACTTGGGAGTAAGGCCAACCGCAGACTTGTAACCCAGAGGTTAACTAACCTCAGTACAGTGTTTACTTTGCCCAAAGCGCCTCCAGAAACGTGGGGGGATACAGTGTGGTGTGGGCAGGAGAGATAAGACATGAGCCTGGAGTGTGAAAACTAATACAAACACTGACTTGAAGAGGATGGGCATCTGGACGAAGGGATAAGAAGTATTTACTTTTTATCTACAGAAAAATCTACAGAAAATCATTTCATCCGTCTTATCAGGCATGTGTTAGCTGTTACGTTCAGTAACATGAGTAGCTTTGACGGGATGTCACTGGTCACCAAGTGCGCTTTAATAAGAGGAGACAATATCACACTATCTTCTTATAGATAACTATTTTTAAAAAAGAGGCACTCACCGGGGGGAATCTATCCCACTGTCTCCTGTGATGCTCTGGTTCTCTCCCATTTCCACCATTTCTCCAACCTCTGCCCCTCTGGCTCCACTGGGCATGCTCAGAACAGCTCTGTGGGTCTGAGGAACACCCTTCTCATCGAACTCCTGCACTTCCTCCACCTCAGCTGCCCAGTGAGCGGACTCGCCATCACCCTCATCAGCTGACTTCCGCATGGTCTCCGTGTCTGATTCTATCTCACTTGTCTGGCAGTAGTCAAAGATGCTGCTGTCTGCAGCCTCACATGCCTCAGAATACTCCAAATTAGGGCCAGCTTCCTGTCTTCTTTCCCCTTGGATCAAGGCGCTTCTTCTGGGGTTGGATTCACTTTGGCCACCGGGGGATCTGGTCCTTGGATGGTGGAGTCTCCAGCTGGCCTCTCCAGGTCTGGCGGTGCTGAGGGACGATTCCCTTTGGGCTGTGAGATCTTTGAAAGTGCTGTCCACTGAATTTTGAATTAAGGCGACTTGTTGTTGGTGAAAATTGGATTCATAATAGTGGCTGTGGGGTCCCTGATATTGTAAATCAGACTCATGGTTTTGATAAATCAACTGGTGGCCTTGATAGTCTGCTACATCTGTTCGGTACTCATTCGCAGCATCAATAATCTCATTGTCATTCAGACACAAGGAGCTGCAGGCGTCGTCATCCTCCTGCTCAGCGGCTCTCTGATACAGCCTGTAGTCGTCCTCTATAAAGCCATCCGTGTCTGTTATTAAAGGAATGCTGTCAGCTGTCAGTTCCAGCCGTTCACCTTGGCTCATGGTCCTTTGCTCTCTGTTACTGATCGTGGCGGGTTGTGTCTCCTGTTGGTCCTGGGTGGCTGCAGTTTCAGAGAGCTCATCAAGCCTCTGAATATTGTCCCGTTGTTGGTTGGAGACTTTGAGGGAATGCTTTCTCTGTAACGAGGGCTTGGGCCAGGGCAAATTTGGCTCATATGAGTGGTTTATGACAGGCTCATAGGGATGGGTAGGGACATTAGTACTGGATGTTTGCTGGATGTTAGCAAAAGTTTCAACTATATTTTGGCTGTGGTCTGGTTCACCACTGTACTCCTGTACATCCTGAAAAGGGCCATTTTTACTCTCTCTCTCCCAACTCTCCTTGATGTTTCCTTCCCTCTGATGTCGGACCTTGTCTTCTATCCGAAGCGTACTGCTCTGTGGGTAGGCGGAGCTGTAGTCCAGTGGCAGCTCTCTGTTGCGCTTCATGTCAGACTGGAGTAGATGATCAGCATCAGCAGTAAAGTCCCTCTCGTCTATGCAGTCGTATCTGTCTTCAGATGTTGGGAATTTCACTGCACTCTCTCCATCTACTGCCATCACTTTGGCTCGATGAGGGTCCCATGACTTGGAGCGATGACTCGATCGTTCCTTCCTCCCTGGGCCTAAAGCCTTGCCGTCTTTCACCTCTCGTCTTCTATGCTCTCGGGTGGCCGGAGTTATGGTCTCAGCGTCTTTGGTCGGATGAGTCTGGAAAGGGTTTTCAATGCGTTTCTTATACAGAGATTTTCCTTCAACAGTTCCACCTTCTTCCACTTGATCTGGTTCATCAACAGGGATTTCCACTCTGAGCCGCGTAGGGATCAAATCCTCCCCCTCTGGATAATTGTCAGTACATATAGGAGCCTTACTCTTAACCCTCTCCTTGTCCCTTTCCCTCTGCTTCTCTCTGGATGAGTGGGCCCTCCTCTTGCTGCGAGAGGCCTTTTGAGCAGCTCTTTTCCCCGCCGTTGCCTTAGCCGAGTGATGATGTCTAGGTTTTGAGAATGTTAGTATCTCAGTAGACATTCCCTTGTCGACTCCCTTGTCGTCTTTATCCAGACCCCTGTCCAACACTCTCTCTATCCCCCGCTCCCTTCTTTCCTCCAGCTTCTTCATCAGGACCGTGTGCCGTGTCAAGTTGTCTACGGTCAGTTCAGGGTTGATGCGTTTGATGATGGCGTGTTCCAGGTCACGTGGCAAGTTGTTCAGGTCGTCCTCGTCTCTTACCGGCCACTCCTCTGGAGGAAACTGGCCTGAGAATGAAGCATACTCCTTTTTTGGCTTTTCCTTTTTACCTCCATTCCTTCGGAACAAACTCAGACCAAACTTCCGCCCTGGTTTGTTGTCTTTTTCTTTGCGACCAGTGGCGTTAGTAGTGGCTGTAGTTTTGCTGATCTCACTCGCTTGACAATCAGCCGCTGTGGAGGTCGACTGATGCTGCACTGAGGGTTTGTGATCTAAGGGTCGGGGCCACTTTAAGCTCTTGCCTGTGCATTCACTTATGGACAAGGAGACTGAATGCTGGTCTGGGACAGTTGAGGGAGGGACGGTGGCTGTTGCAGTAGTGGAGGTGACATTAGTGGAAATTTGGAGAGGACCGAAACAGCTGCAGGACTTGCAGTGGGCCACTGGGAGCGTTTGAGTGCTCTCAACACAGGCTTCATTGCTCAGCAGGTAAGTAATGGGAGGAGGCAAAGGAGGGTCATCTGCTGAACCGGACGTCCACCAGCTTTTCTCTCGGACCATGTTGTTGGTAATGAAATAGGTCTGAGGCGTGACGATGAAGTAACCCTCGCCTGTGTGGTAAATCTTGCGCTCCTTGATCAGAGTGCCCAAAGCATTGTAGAGGATGTCCTGAGTGGGGATTGTTATCCCTGAGACATGAAAAGAGAAAAGGGTCTTAAGGACAAAATCAAAGGAAAAGAGCAAATTCTGTACATCTGTAATTCCAATGTTGTAGAGCAAATGTTAAAGCTTTTTGGAAAATACACTTACATACTTACCAGACAAGAAGACTGGCTACACTCTCATGTCTGTCTGTGAAATATAAAGCTACAGCCACTGGCCATTTAGCTTAGCTCAAATACTGAAAACAGGGAAATTGCATTCTTTGCTCTGTCCAATGAACGCCTCTAAGATCATTCCAATATATTTAGCTTGCTAAAAAATGAGAAATTGTAGTTTTACAGAGGATTATAAGCCAGCATGTTTCATGGAAGTTTGTGCATTTGGCAAAAACAGTCAGGCACATAACCCCACATAAAACTGCAAATTGTCATTTTTATGTGTTGGGTTTTGTAGGGATTAAACAACTTAGATATAGTGTGTTAATTAGTTTGTAGAAGTGCTGTGAGGCAGATTTTATAACACTTGGACAGAGCCAGACCAGCTGTTTCTCCCTATTTCAGGTCAGTTTTTGCAGATGTGAATGTGTTATCAATCTTTTTCTCTAAATCTTTGCCAGAAACCAAATAAGCACATTTGCCAAAATGACAAACTATTTCTATAACAAGCAAGCTGAGGAAGTATTTCAAGGATTACCTGGATGGGCTTTGCTCATGTAATTGACAAGTGCTTCTTGGCTGACGGTGATTTGGGAGGAGTTCATATCTGAGATGACCGAGCACAACACCTCAGCCAACGGGATGAACTGCGACTGGGGAACAGGGGACATCTGCACTGGGGACAGGTCACCTGAAACACACACACATCAGCAGATTACTTGGTGAAACAGGTGTGCCAGCTGCAGGAGATATAAACACACCTGGGTCAGAGAGGTCTCTCTCTGACTGGAGCTGCCAGTGAAAACAACTCAAAGTACTGAAGTTGACATTCCTGTCCTAACCACCTTCTAAATCATGGCCGAGGTGGTCTATTTATGTGAGTTATATGAACCATGCCTGACTGCTTTTGAAATTCCATCAGTACTGGGACAGACCACAGAATTCCATTACTCCCACAGAAATGACCACAGGTCTGCCTGCTGGGCAGATCAGATATCCTGCCCCCCATATCATAGAGCCCTACACGTCTAGGAGCTGCCCTTACACAAACATGTTACTGAAAATGAGAGAGGCGAAGAAAAAAGACAGACAGGCTCGGAAACGTTTGTCTCTGTGAAAATATATACACCCCACATCACAATCCCACCAATCTGCATGATTCCACGGACAGACAGTCATCCTCTGACATGCAAACAAGCTGTGGGAGCCCATTAGACAGAAGCCACAAACTAAGCTGCATCGAAAGCTAACCAGACATTTTAGGGACATTTCATTTCAGTATCAAAAACAGTCAACATCAGTTTCACACATGGAGTAGGCTAAGTGAAGCAACATGCAGTGGTTGAATTCATCATGAAAACAGGGTTTTTCTGAGTACAGCCTATAATGAAGAGAACAGGGGGGTTTAGCTTGTAGTGCCATAGAGACTCTTTCACATCCCAACACGGTGTAACTGGTTACCTCACTGGGTAACACAAGTCTGTTATTGTACCAGTGTAGGCTCATGTCATCTTATTTTTTTCCCACAAGTTGAGACATCATCTCCAGTTCAACCTGAAATCCTCGAAGGAAAAAAAAATACCAATAGACATGTCCTAAGAAGGTACCATTGCCACAATTAGCAAGTGGAGATGCAACATTTTGGATGATACCAGGGTTTTGGGGCAGAGGTCTGCCAAACCACAAGACTGTGTGCAAAGACAATACAACAAAAGATTATTCTGAGATATGAGCCTTTAACTGTATAGTTTTAAGTATGTAATGAGTTCAGACGTTTAGGTTTAGTGATGGTTGGAATTATGCCGATTACTGTGATTACTGTAAGAATTTGAGCATTGTTGTAGTGTGTAACTTAGTGGGATTGTAAGAATGCATTGCAAACCCCTGAGTGATAATATAAAAGCAAAACTAAGACATCTGAGAAATGTTTGTCTAGCTCCTACCGTCTTGCGAAACGGTTACTGTAAGTGTTTCACAGAAGCCATTATGATGTGAAATGCTGCCACACTAACAACAATGTCAAAGAACACAAAGACTGATGTTTACCAATGAGGAGTGAGTTCAGTGAAAGCACCAAAACTAACCAGATTCTGCTTCTGATGAATTATTAGCACCTGGGCTGGGTTACCACAAACTCTCCTCCTTTGAACAGCAGACACAAGGGCATGAACATAGCCTCAACCACAGGACTGGAAAATTGGTTTTAGTTAATCAGCTACATGACTTTAATGAAATGAACACAAAGAAGTGAAAAAGGGGATATGAGATAAAAACGTGATTCGCCACAAAAAGGCAGGTTGAGTGTAAATTAATTGACCTGCATAACTAGTGGAAGCTTCAACTTGTCATTTGTATTGACAGAGCCATTTCCCCCATGGGAATTCAGGTTTCTAACTGTTTTGACAACAACAGTTTGTGTATAGATGCGTGAATTCAGGCCTAAGCTTAAACATGCGGCGTGTATGACTGAATGGTCCTCCCATCAGCCCCAGGGCATTTAGTGAAAACACTGCCAAGCTCATACTTGATGTAAACTAAACATTTACATCCCTCACACTTGAACCTCTTATGTCTGAGACAGGGGAAATAAACAGCTAATTAAACATCTGACACAGTAAGGCATGACAGAACTCGCACGTACGAAACACACACTGGCAGGCAAACCTATGAATTACTAGTGATTGATAAGAAACGTGCGTTTCGGTTCTGCACATATACATTACAAGCACAGACAATGTTGCTACATTTTCACTCAAAAAGCAGCACAGTCAGAGCTATAAATCTGCCTGCTCATCAATTTAACAGAAATGGCCCAACACACACAAAATATGGGCTCAAAACTTGGTAATATTTAAATATATTTTCACATCTTCACTTATACAGATGCAAACTTTAAAAAGCCTTTTATTGCAGAGTTAATAGAGAAGACTGACTAAAATAGGGCAGAAATGCTGAGTCTAGCTGTATTAAATGAAGATGATATTTGATTTCCACAGTCATCCTTTACATTTACAGAATTCAGAGACCTGTTAACTGCAATAAAGCAAATAAAGGAGAAAGAGGGGCAAATGTATTAAAATAAACCCTAACATTTGACAGGTTCACAGGTGGAGAAGTAACCCAAAACCTGCCCCGATTTATTTTTACTTGACTAAACAAAATTTTAAAAAGTGGGTTAAAACAAGGGCTGCAAGGTGACGCAGTTGGTAGCACTGTAGCCTTGCAGCAAGAAGGTCGCCGGTTCTGCGTGGAGTTTGCATGTTCTCCCCGTGCAGTGTGGGTTCTCTCTGGGTTCTCCAGCTTCTTCCCACAAAGTCCAAAAACATGTTGAGGTGAATTGGTGATTCTAAATTGTCTGTAGGTGTGAATGTGAGTGTGCTTGGTTGTCTGTCTCTAAGTGTTCACCCTAAGTCAGCTGGGATTGACTCCAGCCCCCCGCGACCCTCGTGAGGATTAAGCGGTGTATAGATAATGGATGGATGGGTTAAAACACTCAATCTGGTAACCCTGATCACAGACCTGTTTATTTTTGGGGGGTTTTCTGACTGAAATGTATTGATCACACTATCACTCCCTCCGTGTTTTAGTTAAAATGAAAATGTTTTATTCTTATTAAGGAAAATGTCAAGCATTGTCGGTACAAAAAAAAAAAACAGTTATGAGCATACTGAGCTCACTTAAGGCTCAGAAGGTTCACAGACAGGGGTCCTTCTTTGTAAAACTGATCTGGAGGGATTGCGAAAGAGAAAAAAAAAGAAAAAACATCTGCCTTCCTCCGGCTGAGACAAGACGTTAAGCTGACTAAACCTCAGAGCGGATATCTCACTAGCAGTCTCCCTGGGCAGTGAATTAGTGCTGCTGACTTTGCTCCTCATTGTTGTTAACTTCCTATAGGAATGCCTGGCAGGCTGTCCACATAGCAACCACTTATATCCACTGTCAACAGTCAAAAGGTCAGCGGGGATATGAGGGAGTCTGAGGGGCGGAAGGCAAATAATTAATGTCTTAATCACAGGGAATCAATAAAGTAATTCTCTCTTTGCACAGAGGTAATTTAAACTGAGATTGATCCTCTCTAACCATGTACCGCTTCCAAGCTGGATATCCCGGAGGGCACCTGCTAGCATGAGCTGCCTTCTTAAGGGAGTTAAAAATGCAAATAGGTTAAAGCATGTTTCCCACATGCAACTGAATTCATTCTAGTTGGATTGCAGCACTGTCTAACAAAGATGAATGTAAGCATGAGAGAAAGCAACAACAAAAAAAAACAAACACCTGTAGCAGTTTATTTGTGGGAAAAAGTTGGCGTAACAGAAGCAGGATTAGTGTTTACTGAGTCTAACATTAGCAGGCGTGACCGTCGGGGAGGTTCACTGTTGTAACCGTCTTCTCTCCAGGGGGAACGGACCTCTGTGTTCCTGTAATCCAAGACCGGGACACCGACATTACACCCTTTGTCATACACAGCATGAATACCCGGACTGGTGCCATGGCAACCGAACCCTGTGCCACAAGGACGACGGAGGGATACGGCAGCTCGAGAGTCAAATGGGAGACGAGGCCAGTTCGATGGGGCAGCAGTTCAATTTAACCACTTAAAGGGGCACTCCACTAAATAATTAGGGTTAGTTCTGCTCAGCTTGGGTTCTATAATGACTTCTTTGGCTCTCAAGGAGCATTGCCAAGAAAATGACCCTGATGATGTCACCATGATGTCATCTCACCTTGAGTTTGCCCACTACAAACTTATAGCAGATGGATGTTAAAGCTCACAGTATGCGTCATCACAACTGATTGGCAAATAGCTTCAGAAACTCCCTTTCTACAACAAGCCATGTCAATCACCATGACTAAAAGGAGGCATTGTTTCAACATCATCCTGTCATTTCATTTGTTGCAAAACTATTTTCTGTCACATTTTACAAAAACAACTGATTGCGTTCCAGATAAACGCTGCTCCTTTACTCAAGCTTTTCAATCCACTTTCCAATGAGGTCATTCTGAACAACAATTAACACATTTGTTTTCCAATGCGGTCGAGCTGCATGTCCGACAAATGACTTCTTTTAAAGGATCACTCGGTGACAATGAAAGATGCCATTGAGCTCCATTATGGCAAGTGTTGGATCCAATGTTTTTCGAGCTTGACACGTACTAGGGGCAAAAAGTCACGATATCGCAGCATCTGGTGCACAGATTGCTTCTTGCACGTCCCAAATGCTGTGTAAGTGTAATACCGAGTCAAAGCAATGACTTGCGACCCGCTGTCACAGACATAAATAAGCAGACAGATAAACAGTTTAGGCAAAGAATAAATTTTCCTTTCTAGGTTGTTAAGCATTGGAACAGGAGCAGGAATTTCTTTTCTTTTTTGTTTTCTTTTGTAAATCTCAAACATGATCCCACAAAAGTTCCGTCCAGTGTACGTCAGTGAGAATCTTTGGTGTAATGCATACCTAATGTGCTGTTTTGGATTAATATTGAAACTGAAAGATCATTGTTACTCATCTGAAATGTTGTTTTAATAGTATTTACCACAACATTAAGTCACAAAGCCCAAACTATGCTTTTTGCCCTGTCCAGCATTATAAACACGCGTTTCTTCCCATGTCATAAACCCTGCATGTGAGGATAAACTGCTGCCTGGGGGATAAAATGAAAAATGCTTGAAGCTGACTGTTCACATTGCGG